TCCTTCTCCCCACCCCCCCTTTGCCCCCTAGCCTTCGCTCCAGGTCCCCCTGCTCTTCAGACTCCCCATCGGCCCTTCCATGCCCCTCCCCCGGGCTTCCTCCCCACCTCCGTTGGAGCCCCCCAACTTCCTGTTTGTGCTCCTGGTGGAAAAAACCTAGGCATGAGTGTGGAACAAGGTGGACAGGACCCCACCCCAGCTGGGTGGGATGCCACATTTCCAGGCTGCAGGCGTGATGAGGCAGAGCAGCCCCCTATCCCCTCCCACGCCCCCCTCCATGGAGAAGGGAGTCCAGCGGCAGGGCCAAGGGACACAGGACCTTCCGGCTCTGTTTACAGAGGCAGGCCTGGGGAGAGAAACATAGCGTTGCTACAGGTAACTATTTGGTAGAAGATGCAACCAGAAAACCAGGCGGGGTTAATCAGGTCCCGTTGGAACAGCAGGGAGTAAGACCTACTTCTGATCCTTCAGGGATCTGACATTTTTGGGGAGGCCAGAAGGGCCCTTGAAGGAATGTATCAGAACCAAAGGCTCCAAAAATAAGGAAAGGAATGGAGTGCTCACTGACTGTTGTGGAGGTGAGAGTCAGACTCGCCCTATGGGCAGAACGGCTTGCCTGTGGGCCAACAGATAGACCCCAAACAGACTCCTCACCTGCTGGTGATGGAGAGGAGGGGCTGCATCCATGTATGAGGCCTGGGAAGCGGACCAGGACAGAGCCAAGGGCTCAGCAAGGCTGGCATCTGGGCCAGGCCAGGAGGAGGTGAGCCGCACACCGACAGCCATTATTCGTTAAAGTGGAAGAACAAAAAATGTTAGGATTTCTCTAGAATTGTCAGAAATGACAATTCTGGGAGACAGCAGCATGTGAATGAGCTCTGGTGGGCACCACGGAAAACAAAGTGAGGGGATGGCTAGGCAGACTTCTGGAACATTGGAGTGGACTCAGCATTGAATTCCAAATGCGCTCGTGTGGTGGATTGGACAAGTGTCTGGGCGCTTGGCAGCTCTAACAGCACCACAGACTGGGGACTTAAACAGATACTTCTTTCTCCTGAAAGAAGCCCGCATTCCCTCCACGGGACCTTCCCGGACCTAAGGCCTCCACCTGGGCTCCAGGTCCCGGAGGTCCTGCAGCCCAGACGCCTCCGCCCCGCCCCGCGTGCCTCCAGTCTGGAGGCTGGAGGTCCAAGACCAGGGCACCGGTGTGCTGGGGTTCCACTGAGGGCCATCTCCTGGCCAGCAGCTGGTCACTTCTTTGCTGTCCTGTCTCTTCTTAGAAAGCACTAATCCCAGGGATGAGGCTCCACCCTCAGAGCCTAAGCCCATCCCAAGGCCCCACCTCCTAACACCGTCACACAGGGGGGTTGGGATTTCAATATATGACTTTGGGGGACACAAACATCCAGTCCACAATCTAGAGCAATATGTTTTCCAACAGACAGGAAAATTTAGCTGCAGAACTGGTGTGGGAGGTCAAGTAGGAACCAATGGTGTAGTCAGAGTGGTTGGCGTCCATGGTACAGCGCAGAAGACGTCACAGATGCCGTGAAATTGGAAAGGAGGGGGTAACTAGGCAGACCACAGGCCTCCGGCAAAACGGAAGGAACATGGAGGAAGTCTGTCCTATCTCCATACAAATCATATGAAAGATAAATTTACCAAAATCTTAGGGATGTGTTCTTTGCAAAAATGATAGGTCAAGAACACTAAGCCGTTTGCTTTGACTTGGAAAACTTCAGATTTCAGAGGCTGCCTGACTCAGAGCAGAGTCCAAAAGCAGCAGGGGTTTGAGAACGTTGCAAATACCAAAATGTTTATCGGTAGAGCATTACATAGATGATGTAATTAGAGGAACAAACATGGAAGAGAAGATAATTTGGACAGATAAACAATGACGATTGAGAAGATGGCAATTTCAAACATGAAGTCACAAAGGAAGTTTACTTCTGTTAAGTTTTAGGCTCAACTGGACATCAGAGAGATAGCGGATGCAGACCTATTGAGGAGTAAAAAAGCAGTACCCAAACTGATAGGGCTCTTTGCCTATTTGGAGAAAATACACTTAACATTAAGGTGTTCTCTTAAAACCAACGTATCGATCACCAGAAAGTTACTTCACAAGGGCCTGGACAGCACTGGTCCTTGATGGATCAGCACAATGTGAAAACACACTCTTCACTCAGGAAGGGAAAGGTGCCGGGCTGGGTGGGCAGGCCCCACAGCAGGGAGGAGAGGACCCTCGGCCACAGGGCTTCCCAGGCTGAGCTGATGAGGGGCCCAGGTGATGTGGACACTTCCTGGCCCTCAGTGCAGCACCGAACAGAATGTGCACGAAGGTGAGCTCCATACTAGCTGGGCGGGTTGACCAGGCAATTCAACAGTAGGGCATGACTCCCTGTGGCATTGCCATAGAGTGCGTGCTGTGAGAACAGTCATTATAGGTGTGAGCTGCACACCCACGTGGATGGCTACTATCAAAAAAAAAAGCTAAGAAAATACATGTTGGTGAGGATGCACACTGGAACCCTTGTGTACTGTTGGCGGGAATGTAAAATGGTGCGGCCACGTGGACAACAGTATGGAGCTTCCTCAAAGAATTAAAAACAGAATTACCAGTGATCCCACCTCTGGGCGCGCACCCCCGAGAACTGAACGCGGGGACTGGAACAGATGTTTGCACCCCCGTGTTCCCAACAGCATGGTCCACGGACAGCTGGAAGGGGCCCGAGCGTCCACATGGATGAAGGGAGGAAGGGAGGAGGGTCTCAGCCTTGCGAGGAGCAGCCCCGAGGGCCTGATGCCGAGTGAAAGAAGCCAGACACGGAAGGACCAGCACTGCGTGCCCCACCTTCGTGAGGTCCCCGGGGCCGGCACAGTCAGAGACGGAGACGAGACGGCGGGCGCCGGGGCGGGGGAGGGGATGGGGAGCGAGCTTCCGTCTGGGAGGATGAGAGTCGTGGGGCCGGAGGGTGGGGCTGGCTGCACAACACGGCGAACGTGCTGGATGCCGCTGAGCTGGGGGCTTGGTGGGGGAGAGGGCTCATTTTTTAATGTATATTTTAATTTAAAAAATTTTAAAAAGGTATGAATCTGCTGTCCAAGGGCCCCTAGTGAGATGAGAGGGGGCCCTAATCTGAGGAGCGGTCCCAGGAGACCCCGCGGGAGACGCTGCCTATGCTCATGGTGAGGCCATTCCTACCGTGGTGTGTTCATCCCACACGCCCAGAACCAAACCCAGGACACTAGCGTAAGACATGCACATCACAGAACAGGGTAAAGACACGGCTCACCCCAGTGACCCACAGGAGAGCCACAGACGAGGCGGAGGCCAGCAAGAAGGGACTTGGGAATCTTCAGGGCTTTAGCAACATATTTTTTTTACCCAACAGCAGATTTTTATCTGGCCCAGAACAGCCAAAACAGCTCCCCTCCCCAGCCCGGAAGACACTAAGGACGAGCAGAGAAGCAACATTCAAATTCCTTACTCCGACATAAGGGTCCTGAGGAGGCAGCCATGGGATGCGCCCCACTGGCAACGCGCACAGCAAGGCAGAGGGGTTTTTCTTGGTACCTCAAACTCAATGACTTCCATAGATTTCATTCGGTCACAAGACAGCCTTTCTCCAAGGCAGAGGGTCCCTGGTGACCTGAGCGATGCATACACCTCATGGCATCATCCCTACCCCTGGGGGGTGTGCATATATGCCCCAGCCTGGGGCTCTGACCTAGGAGCAGGGGCTGTGTGGGTAGGTCTGCAGGCTGGAATCACCCCGTAGCAGGTTTTTGGCAGCTTGGAGACCCTCAGGGACCACAGCATGGACCGCATCATGAAGCAGAGGCAAGTGTGTCTCAAGTGAGGTGACATCCAGTCACTTCTGTGGTTTTGGTCTCGCAGAGCTGCCAGGACCTACCATCAATGCACAGCTTTTGGGGTCGGGGAGACCACTCCTGCTCCCACTTGGGGATCCCTGCAGGCCAAGGGTCCAACTGGGGTCTCTTCTGTCTCCAGAAAAGGACTTGGGGGCAATGCTCCACCACCCACCCCAGAGCCCCAGGGACTGCTGGAACCTTGGAACACAGGGCCAGCAAGAACACCCATCCCTCATTTAGCCTTGTGGCCCAGGGCAACCCCTTGAGTCTCTGAATGAGCCCCTACTAGAGAAACTGTATTGTTATGCTGGCCAGGTGCCCTGGGGCTACTTCCTTATCTCCCTGGGGGCGGGAGCACCTCCCAGGCCCACCCGGTTGTCCTTTCTGAGCCACCGGTAGAGGGTGGGGCCACAATTACTATTTGGAAAATGCTCCCAGGGCGGTTTTGGTCAAGTCCTCTGACAACTGCTGGGACCTGGTCCTTGGCCAAAGTCGAAAGTCTCAGGGCCCCTGTCCGGCTGTCCGGGGCCCACCTAGAGCAATCGCTTCCCTGGAGACAAAAGGATCCCCTTCCCTGGTGTGCCTTAGCTCTCCTGCCTCTCCTGTTCCAGTCACCCCTGAGGAGTCCTGCTTCCCGGACAGAGCTCAGCAGAGAGGCTCAGGCCTGCCTGGGGCAGAGGTGGGTCTCTGGGCACACCGTAACTGCAGCCGAGGTCAGGCTGGGGTAGCATAGTAGAGGGGACCCCCTGACAACCCCCCTCCTCCTGCTCAGCAGGGCTCCCAGAGAAGGTGAGAATGGTCACCCATCAAGGGCTGGTGCACAGGGTTTGGGAGACCTTAGGAAAGCCAGCATGTTACAAGGACCCCAACTCTGGGTTCCACGTGCCCTTGGAAACTGGCCTTCTAGGGGAGGTCCTGGCCAGCATCCCAGCACACCCCGGGGCCCAGGCAGCCCTGGCTGTCCCCACACCACCAGCAGGGGCCATTCCTACCCAGCACAAGAGGTACACACGTTTACAGAATTAAGTCGGGAATAAACAACCTTTTTATTAAACGTACCTAGATTTGGAGTTGGGGAGGGTCACAGGATGGGGTCAGGGCAGAGGAGACACGGTCCTACAGAAGGGACAGTGCAGGTCAGGCCTCACTCTCGCCGGTCGGCCAGGACGCCTCGCTCGGCGGCGGCGCTGCCTAAGATGAAGCCGACGGCCAGGGACACGGTCTGGTCGAAGGAGCCGCGCAGCTGCTCCACGTGCTGGTTCAGGGTCAGCAGCTGGTCGCGCAGCGGGCCCAGGATGGCCACGATGTCGCCCAGGTGCCCCAGGGTCTGCAGAAGGGCGGCGTTCAGCGACGGGGGCGCGGACTGCGGGGACGCGTGGTCCTCGGGGCGGCTGGGCGGAGAGTCGGGGTCCTCCCGGGTGGCGTCCAGGGCCGGTGGCGGCGGGGATCCCGGGGCACGGAAAGGCGCGTGGTCTTCGGGGCGGCCCGGCGCGGAGGCGACCGCGGAGAGCGCCGTCGGGGAGCCGGGAACTCGGGGGGTGTCCGCAGACTTGGGCGGGGTCGGGCTGAACCTGAGCGTCCACGCCGGGTCTGCGTCGGGGTCGCGGGCGGCCGGCGGCGGCGGGACGTCTGGAACGCGGCGGGGCCGTCGGGCCAGGCTCTGGAG